GCCAGCGCGGCGCCCGCCCCGACTCCGTCGAATCTGCCACCGCAGCCACGAACGCCCCCACCTGCAACATCAATCCTGGCCCCACAGCAGCAGCATCCTCCCGTAAACCAGTTTCCCCTGCCCCAGCCTCAGCTGCACCATCCGCCGGCACCTGTGCCGCCACTCCCTCCTGTCCCGCCTGCTCCTCTCGCAGCTGCTCCTGCAGCCGCGACGCCTCCCCTCGTCGAGCAGCGCGTTGTGCACGTGGGGACGTGCTTGACGTTGCTGTCGTACGTTCTGGACCAGCTCCACATATGTTTGGTGCGGCAAGGCTTGGAGGTTGGGGGGATGTTGCCGGCGGAACAGTCTGCGGCGGTGGCAGTGGCAACGGAGATACTGCACTATCTACCTTTGATCGGCCTTGTGCAGGGCGCTCCTGGTGCTGCGCTCGGGCCCGGCCCCCGAGCAATGGTAAGGCTTGCTGAGTCTGCTCGGGGGAGCCCACTCGGCCTTGTGTCAGCAGCCGCATCCGTCCTACGCTGGATGGACGGGAGGCTGTGCTGGATCCTCGCCGAGTAGCAGGTGGTTTTCCCTTGCAAGCTCCCGTGGTGCTAGTCCTTGCCTTGGGCTTCCCCATGCCGGATCCCCCTGACCTGGAGGTGGTGTTGTTGTTCTGCCCTGCTAGTGGCTCCTGATGTGCCACATGCTGTTAAAGGACTTGCGTTGCTGCTACCCTTGCCACCCCTCACGCGCGGCCGAAGGCCGCGCTGGCGAGCGGCGGCCGCCGGAGGCGGCTGGCGCGAGGCGCCGGATTTGGAGAGTGGTCCTAACTCACCAGTGAATAATGAGCTCACTAGCCTAGATCCAGGGCCTTTATACTAAGGAAATAGGCCTAGAAATGGCTAAGGACTAGATCCTAGAGAAGAGAGGCCTAGAAATGGCTAAGGACTGAGCTATGCCATCTCTCACTCTCTCTCTCTCGCTCTCTCGAGCGAGCCGCCGGATTTGGAGAGTGGTCCTAACTCACCAGTGGTCCTAACTCACTCTCTCTCTCTCTCTCTCTCTCTCTCTCTCTCTCTCTCTCTCTCTCTCTCTCTCTCTCTCTCTCTCTCTCTCCCTCTCTCTCTCTCTCTCTAATGGTCCGTACATTGATATGGCAGAAAGCTATACACATACAGGTTCATAGGCATGCAAGTTCCATTCTATTCCCTCTAGAGTTCCACCAGTGGCTCTAAAACAGCAAAGCAATCCCCTAGGTGTAGTTCATGGCCAATACCCCCCACCGGGGGGGTCCCAGCTGCTGCCGCCTCACCCAATTTCATGAGTAGGCCCACCGACTGTGCTCTCTGAAGAGCAACTGACCACCTCTGCCTGAACTGATGCAGAAATTTAGCGGCATGATAGGAGTTAGAATCGGCGTTGAAGTGGCGCCGAGCCGCCGTGTCTGCCAGGAGTTTGAGGAAGACGGGGACCTCTGCACACGGGCCACCATAGGTCTCCACCGCCAGTGGAAAGAAGACGACTGTCTCAGGTCTGTTCGCATAGTGTTGAATCTTTTTGTCTGCCTGCTCTTTGGCCGCCCATCCCCTGCCTTTCTGCGCCTCTGGGTCCCGAGTGCTGATGGGGTCTGTCACAGTTACATCACACACCCAAACCGCCCCGCTGCTCCTATTGGTCATGGTGAAATCAGCCGTCCGCTCCTCGATGGGACAATGGGCGGCCGACTCACTGTGGACTATGAAACCTGCGTCCTGCGCCATACTTATGCAAGCATCCCGGAGCTCGTTATGGGTGTTGATGCGATGCTTGCCGGTGCCGCAGCGAAGGAGGTGGTTTGGGAGGCGGGGGTCCGTGATTGCTGTGTGGTCCGAGCAGTCGCAGTTTTTGGGGGTGGAGAAGGGCAGCCCAAGCCTGAATCTGACGGCATTGGCAAAGTGTGCCGGTCCAATGCGCCTCGTCGCCTCTATAGGGATCGCCGTCAGCCAGTCCCCCGTGCCATAGCCCGTTAGAGAAAACATCCACTGCGTATGGCCCACAAGCGGATTCAGCTCCATGTCCCTCGTCGCCTGTACTTGCACAGCGTAACGGCTACCGTGGACCTGTAGGGCGAGGGCGTGCTGCAGCTTGACGTCCGTCCGTTTAATCCGTTCCCGTTCCAGCAGCTCACGCGCATCAGAAGGCAGGGCGGTTTCGCATTCGGCGAGCCAGGAGTGGAGCGGCGTGCTCTCGTCTCTAGGCAGGAGCATATGGCCGCGCGCGTGAGACAGAGCGGAGTCCGGGTCTAGCGCGAGCGCGGAGAAGAGCAGCGCCGCCTGCGTGAAGCTTGCTACAAAACCGTAAACTCCCTCTACGAGGGGGTCTGTAATGCCAAATCCCCCAAGAGAGGGGGGCAGGGATGCCTGAGCCCATACGCGTGACTGTTCTGCTCTGCCCGCCGGAGCGCGAATGTTGCATGAGGTAAGTAGCGCCATGAGGAGGTCACGGCCCCACTCGGTCCATGTATCCCGCGAGACGAGATTGAGGGGGGTTGTTCGGGTGAGATACGCCACGTGCCGAGAAATGCAGCGCGTGATCAGCAGCGAGGCGACTTGTGGGTCGGCCTGCTCGATGAGCGGCAAAGGCTTCGCCAAGTCTCTCAGCTGCCCCGCCAAGAACGAGGCTGCCCCGTCGGCCGGCCCTATAAAACTTCCCAACAGACGGACGCCGTCCTTGCAGAACGGCACCCCCAGAGGCAGTTCACTTGAATCGCACGTGGCAGCGCTCCATGCGGTACACTTTTGCGGGTTGTGTTTCAAACCCAGCAATTCCAACCTTGTGGTGAAGTGGTTGAAGGCAGCTACAGTTGCACGTGGTTCACCCACGAATGTCACGTCGTCCGCATAAGCCAAGCAAAGCACCTCAGGGTGTGCTGCTGCAGTGTCGCGAAGTGTGGGGTGGATCCCCGCCGCAAAAAGGAGTGGGCCCAGTGGGTCACCCTGGCGAACGCCTCGTTCACTACGCAGGGGTTCGCTCGCAAAGTTCGAATCCAGGTGCAGCCGCGATGGGTTACCGTAGGTCAGGCGAACCAGTGGTAGCAGCGGCGACATGGTGGGTTCTTGTAACGCGGCTGCGATGGACTGTCGCGAAATGCTGTTGAAGGCATTCGCGATGTCGGTCTGCAGTACCAGGCTATTGGGGTGGCCGTCCACGTACGTTCGGGCGGCATGGATTATCGCTTCCGCCCCACCTGCCACAGCCACGCCGTACTGTAGGGGTAGGAAGTGTTCACGTGCAGCTTCGCCCATGATCGAGAGTGCAGCCTTGGCAGCCAGACGCGTCAGGCATTCGCCAATCGCGATTGGTCGGGCCCCTCCTCCAGGCTTGGCCAGGGCTATGAGTCGAGATGCTGTGAGCAGGTCTGCCACCAAGGCTGGGAGGTTTCCCCCCAGAATTGTGTTGACCAGGGCGTGCAGATAGGTGCAGACGGATGCATTGGTTACCGCCGCGTCGCGAAGATGCTCAAATGTTGTGCCTGATGGTCCGGCCCCCACGCCATTATCGCATCGCCCAAGGAGCTTCGCAAATTCAGCGTGGGAAATGCCCAGGGGACGGGTGTCGGTTGCTTGCCAAGTCAGCGACTCTGCCCCTGCTGGCGGGTGTTTCTGGCGAAGTTCGTCCAGGATTTCTGGACTTGGTGTGCAGACGGGTGTTGATTCGAGCGCCAGCACGGCTCGTCGCAGACTGCCACGTTTTGCCAACCCCTCCGCTCGACTCACTACACCTGTCACGTCGGGTTGGTGACGCGGGGGTGGAGGGGTGTTGACCGCGTTTACTGCGTCCTAGTAGAGCTGCGTCCACTCGCCACGCTGGAAAGCCCGAAGCCGGGCCTTGATTTGCGGCCAGTTTGGGTGCTTTGGCGAAGCTTGGCGAAGAGTTAAACGCGGGAGGAAAAGGAGTAGTCGCCAACTGGCCTCAGAGTTAGGGTTTCGCGAGAGGTGGTGTAGGGGAGTCAAGAGTGCCAGCGAAAATAACTGGCACAAATTTGGCGGTAATCGTCTCGTCAGTGGCGGTTGTCGGCTGTCACAGAGGGCGGAAACATCCCAGTTCGCGATGTCAGCGAACATGTCGCTCCTTTCTGCCCACTCCTCTAGCGAAAAATACCGGGGCAGCTGCGGGGTCGCGACTGACGCATGGCGAAATAATGCGGTCCGATTTCTTCGAGCGCGGCTCGATCTCGCTGATTGCTGCCAAGTTGGATTCCCAGCCGTTTGATCAGCAGCGGACGGCCCTGCTTGCCCCTCCGTTTCTGCCGTGGGTAAATTGGCTGCACCTGGTCCTCTCCTCCCCGTTCCTACCCTTGTTATCTCAGCTCCATCCCCTTCTTCGTTTTCACTCTCTGGCTGCTCTTCCTCGGTATAAGAGGGGTCATTTCTCTCCTCGACTGCATTAGCTGCTACCAGTGCTATTAAAGCCCGACGCCCTGCCGCCTGATACCCGTTCTCCGGTCCTCCGCCTGCTCCGCTAACCGTCTGGCTCCTCTCTCCCTGAGCCCCTCGTCCACGCGATGGTGATTGCCGGTGCGCCTGAGCCGACGCCAGAGCTCGTTGCCTCCTGGTCGGCAATGGTCGCCAAGCCTCAGTCTAAGCCCGAAAGGGCGACCACGGCGACGAAGCCCCCTCTGCCTCCGGCTCCGAAGCCCTCGACAACATCCTCTGAAAATATTCCTCACTTCGGACCTGCGGCTCTCCTTGTCGCGGATGCGCCTGGTTCAACTGCGACTGTTGTCGCTTAGACTCCTGCAACTGCTGCTGCTGTTCCATCCGCCCCAGCTGTGCCGGCTGAACCCCAGGCGTCCCCTGCTGCGCCGCCGGAGTCTGTCGCCGACCTCTCGGCTCCCTTGCCTGCGGGACTTGTCGCCGCACCTTAGTTGCCGACTCCTGCCTCTGTCTCGTCCCCGCAGGCGGCGTCCGCCACCACTGGCGGCCCGGCCCCGTTGGTTGCCCCGCCGGTTGGGGGTCCGGCTGCACCTGTTGTGCCACCGACTACTCCTGTGGCGCAGCTGTCTCGCCCGCCGTCACCCGGCCGGCGCCCATCTCGCCCTCATTCTCCCGCTCCCCAGCAGGATCGTCAATCCTCATGGCGCCGACGCAATTCTCCCCGTCGCCCGCATCAGAAGGCCCAGTGGCACGCGAACCACGGCGGCCGCGGTGGCTGGTGGGGTCCCCGCGGTCGCGGAGGTGGTGGGGCGTACGATCCGCCCGTGAGGATGGCGGATCTGCAGCGGGCGGTGTCAACTGCGGTGCGTGAGGAGAGGGCCGCCCTGACCCAGGGCAGCTCTCACGCTGTCGTGGGACGTGCTGCTCCTCGACAGGCTGTACTTCCTGTGGATCCGCCGCCAGCTGCACCCGTCCCTCATCAGAGTCCGGCCCCGTCGGCTCCCGCTGTTTCTGCCTCTGCTCCTGTTCCTGGGTCTCGGCTTCGTCTCCCGCCCGTTCCGCCTGTGGCGGGAGTTGAATTTGTGGCAGCGGGAGGGGGAGCGCAGTATCCTCATCATGGAGTTGGCGGTTCAGCAACTCCTGCCCTCGAGGAGCCGTTTCAGTTTCTGGCGCATGCATTACAGCCTCCATAGTCCCGTGTTCCAGAGGCGACTCTCGCCCAGCTCTTCCGCCTCGCGGAGAGCTTTCACGCTCTGCTCCTGATACAGGTTCTCGCGCATTCGTCACTTCCTGCAGTTCCCCCTGAGACGTTCCAGGATCGCCACCGTGATTCGTGCCTGGACGCGGCCGACCAGCTCGCCGTGCTGCTGGCTCCCGTGCTGGCTGCGCCCGTAAAGGGTGGAGTTGCGGCTGCTGGGCAGCTCGATGAGGCTGTACGCAGCCTGAGGCGCCATTTGCGTGCAGGTTCTGGAGCCGCCGCGATCGGCGCAAGCACGCTTGTGGTCCGGGAGCTGTGGCGCTCCCTGACGGACGTTCTTCACGCCCTTGGAGCTCACCGCATGTAGGCGCGGGCTCCGATTGCACCTTTGATGCCATGCTTGTCTAGGTGCTTGTTGAAACCGTCATTGTGTGTATGTCCTTGCTTAGTATCTTTTGCGTGTGTTTGATCTTGCCGCCCCTCACGCGCGGCCGAAGGCCGACGCGAGCCGCTCGGTTAAGAGAGCACACGAACACGGAAATGAATAATGAGGCTCTAGGACTAGATCCTAGGGCCTTTATACTAGGCTGGAGAGGGCTGGGGAGGCTAAGGACTAGGCCTCTCTCTCTCTCTCTCTCCTCTCTCTCCCGCTCGGTTAGGAGAGCACACGAACACGGAAATGAATAATGAGGCTCTAGGACTAGATCCTAGGGCCTTTATACTAGGATGGAGAGGGCTGGGGAGGCTAAGGACTAGGCCTCTCTCTCTCTCTCTCTCTCTCTCTCTCTCTCTCTCTCTCTCTCTCTCTCTCTCTCTCTCTCTCTCTCTCTCCTCTCTCTCCCGCTCGGTTAGGAGAGCACACGAACACGGAAATGAATAATGAGGCTCTAGGACTAGATCCTAGGGCCTTTAGACTAGGCTGGAGAGGGCTGGGGAGGCTAAGAACTAGGCCTCTCTCTCTCTAATGGTCTGTATATTGATACGCCAGAAGGGTACACACATGCAATGAGCGACAGCAGGGTGCTTAACATGCAAGGTAGCCTAGACTATCCAACCCCTCTAAGTCACCTAGAGCTCAAGGAGAGGCTCTAGGACAGTGAAACAGTCCCCCAGGTATAATTCTTGCCCTATCCCCCCTAGAGGCGGGTTCTCTGCAGCAGCCGCCTCTCCTAATTTGATCATGAGACCCACAGATTGGGCCCTCTGCACTGCAACCGACCACCTCTGCCTGAACTGGTGCAGGAACTTCGCGGCATGAAAGGATTTGGAGTCGGCGTTGAATTATCGCCGAGCCGTCGTGTCTGCAAGGAGTTTCAGGAACACAGGGACCTCAGCACAAGGGCAGCCGTAGGTCTCTACTGCGAGAGGGAAGAAGCCCACTGTCTCGGGCAGGTTTTCATAGTGCTTGATCTTCTTGTCTGCCTGCTCCCGGGCTGCCCAGCCCCTGCCTTTACGCGCTTCCGGGTCCCTGGTACTAATAGGGTCTGTGACCGTCACATCACACATCCAAACCGCCCCACTGCTTCTGTCCGTCATGGTAAAGTCTGCTGTCTGCTCCTCTATGGGGCAGTAGACGTTGGTTTCCCTGTGTACTATGAACCCCGCGTCTTGCGCCATGTTGATGCATGCGTCGCGAAGTTCGTTATGAGTATTCGTACGGTGCTTCCCCGTGCCGCAGCGGAAGAGGTGGTTGGGGAGGCGCGGGTCTGTGATAGCGGTGTGGTCTGCACAATCACAATTCTTCGGAGTAGAGAAAGGGAGGCCCAACCGGAAGCGCACGGCGTTGCTGAAGTGTACCGGGCCTATGCGTCTTGAGGAAGCTACCGGTACTGCCGTCAGCCAGTCCCCTGTGCCGTAGCCTGTGAGTGAGAACATTCTCTGTGTGTGCCCGGAGAGAGGATTCAGTCTCATTCGCCTCGTCTCCTCGACCTGTACCGCGTACCTACTCCCCTGTACTTTGAGGGCCAGCGTGTGCTGGAGCTTGATGTCCGACCGAGAGAGCCGCTCCTGATCAACTACGTCGCGTGCGTCTGAGGGCAGGGCTGTCTCGCACTCTGTGAGCCAGGAATGAAGCGGTGTGGTGACGTCCCGGGGCAGAATCATGTGGCTGTGTGCTCGGGTCAGGGCGGTGTCTGGTGCTAGCGTCAGGGAGGAAAAGAAGAGCGCGGCGTTGTCAAACTCATATGCTAAAGTCTGTGTAGGCTGTAGTGGGGTAGACAATATGGGGTACAACACTTTTAGGTTTTCCTACTTGTACCCACCTGCTTGCTAGTTCATTCATTCCTCATTTCTTCACATGGTATAGAGCAGGTTCCCTAGTGGGAACGCTTCCTAGGGCCCACCACTGAGAATCGAAAATATTTTTTTTTTCTGACCGGAGCGCGAGTCGCCCCTGCCCGAGGCGCGCCCCGTGGGCCACCCTCTCGTCGCGTCCCCTGCCCTTAGCGGCCTGTCGCGCCCTCCTAGAGGCCCCTCTCACGGCTCCTCGCGCCACCCCTAGCAACCCCGTCGCCGCCCTTAGCGGCCCCGTCGCCACCCCTAGCGGCCCCGTCGCCACCCTTCGCGGCCCCGTCGCCGCCCCTAGCGGCCCCGTCGCCGCCCTTCGCGACCCCGTCGCCGCCCGTTGCGGCCCCGTCGCCGCCCTTCGAGGCCCCTCGCGGCCCCTTCGCGGCCCCGTCGCCGCCCCTAGCGGCCCCGTCGCCGCCCTTCGAGGCCCCTCGCGGCCCCTTCGTGGCCCCGTCGCCGTCCTTCGCGGCCCCGTCGACGCCCTTCGAGGCCCCTCGCGGCCCCTTCGCGGCCCCATCGCCGCCCCTAGCGGCCCCGTCGCCGCCCTTCGCGGCCCCGTCGCCGCCTCTAGCGGCCCCGTCGCCGCCCCTAGCGGCCCCGTCGCCGCCCTTCACGGCCCCTCGCGGCCTCTTCTCGGCCCCGTCGCCGCCCTTCGTGTCCCGTCGCCACCCTTCCCGGCCCCTCCTCGGCTCCTCCGCCACCAGCAGCGGCCGCCGCCAGCAGCAGCCGCCGCCGCCGCCAGCAGCAGCCGACAGCAGCAGACGCCGCCGACAACAGCGGCGGCCACCACCAGCAGCAGCCGTCGCCGCCGACAGCAGCGACTGCCGCCGCCACTGACAGCAGGAGCTGCCGCCGCGGTCGCGGCTCTTGTTATAGTCACAATAGCCTTGAATGTGCCTAAAACGAAAGATAGAGTGCACAGACGGATTTCTGCACAGCGGCTTCAAACGTTGATAGCGTTCTCCTCACAGCTGCAAATGACTTGATTCAAATTGGATCTGGAGCGTCTTGACGTCGCCTACAATAAGCAATTTAGATTGCACGATTTCATAAAGAATTGACGACAGCGTCGGTTTGAACGAACGGTACTATGGCAGCCACTATAGTCTTAGAACACAAGATAGGAAGAGTTACGAGTTGGGAATGACTCCCAGCTCCTACAAACCCCAAGAGCCGAGGTACAGTGATGTGGAACAGTGCCACACTGTCCCCAACCACGAAGGGTCTCGAAACTACCCTTCACTAGGGCCTACACCAAGTGAAATGTTACATTACACAAAGTAATGTAACTATCTTCAATATCTTGAGGTGTACCCTTTTGGCAAGCTTCGAAATCACTTGAGGCTTGACACCAAGGCTCGGGCTCTTCATCACAAACTCATCCTTGAGTTCTTGATGGGTCTGCTGCACACACCTGCGACACGCCGAACGTTCGACACAGGACAAAATAGAAACCGCGCACGACAAAATAGAAACCGCGCGCGAGACACAAACGACCGCGTAACACGCGTCTAGCGATAACTCGCTATTGACTCGACACACACACTCGACATCATGACTCAACATTCACACACAATTATAAGCATGAAATATATATTATCCCATGCCCTCATACCATTCCATACACACACACATTCACGCACACGGACAACAAGCCGAGTGCAAACCGTAGGGTTGCACCAACAGCTCTGTCCCTGCCGACGCGCCTCGGCCCTGCCCCACCGCTTGCCGGACCCTACTTACCAGCCCTGGTGAGAGCACTGCCGAGCCACGCCTGCTACTGCTGCCCCTAGCCTGCTGCCAGTGCTGTCATGGCTACCCCTAGTGTTCTCACTTTTGATGCTGAGGGTCGGGCTGTTGACTTTGAGGTCTGGGTCGATGATCTACAGCTTTTCCTACAGTGCGATAGGAAGGACGGTCTCTCCCTGTTCGATCTCACGTCTGGCGCCTCTACTGCCCCTGCTGCCGATGCTGACAGCACTGTTCGCTCACAGTGGGCCACACGCGATGCTGCTGCCCGTCTTGCTGTGCGTAGTCACTTGCCGTCCACTGAGCGCGCGCACTTTAGTCAGTACAAGAGTGCTAAGACCTTGTACGATGCTGTCGTTGCACGCTACTCTTCCCCTACCACTGCTGCCCTTAGCCGCCTCATGCTGCCGTACCTGTTTCCTGACCTCGCCGCCTTTCCCACTGTCGCTGACCTCGTTACGCACCTTCGCACTAGTGACACCCGTTACCGCGCTGCGCTTCCTGCTGAGTTCTGCGCCAAGAACCCCCCCCCATGTACATCACCCTCTACTACATAGTCACCCGGCTCCCTGACTCCCTTCGCTCGGTCAGGGACCACTTCCTTTCTGTTTGCCCCACCACACTCACCGTTGACCTCCTCGAGGAGCGCCTTCTGGCAGCTGAGAAGAGTATAGTCGCTGTAGGAGCCTCTCGTGGTGACCCTCGTGCCCCCGTCTTTGAGGGGTGCTCCCCCTCCCCCCTTTTGCCCTCTGTTGCCTCTGCTGCTGCCGTCGACTTCGTTGGCACCGAGTCGGTCGGCGCTGCGTCTGCCCCTAGCGGGCGACGCCGCACCGGCAAGGGCAAGGGGGGCAAGGGCGCTGGAGGGGCTGGCGGGGGCGGTGGAGGTGGCGGTGGAGGAGGCGGAGGGAGTGGGGGTGGCGGAGGGAGTGGTGGCGGGGGTGGGGGCTTCGGTGGCGGCGGTGGAGGTGGAGGCGGCGGCGGCGGTGGCGGTGGGAGCGGAGGAGGAGGCGGGGGCGGCGTTGGCAGAGGTGGCGGCGGAGGAGGTGGAGCTAGTCGGGGTGGCTCTGCGCAGCGGGGCGGCTTCGGTGGTGGTCAGCGCCAGCAGCAGCAGCGCACTCGTGAGACCCCGCCCCCCCAGCAGCTTCGTGAGTGGTACTCTGCGCGTCAGCGGGGTGGGGGTGCTGGTCCTTGTGCCTACGTCCTGCGTACCGGCGACCGCAC